CGAGCGTGAATGAAAAATCAAGAACTATGAAAATTGCGACGATAGAAATAAAGATTCTATTCAAAATTCACGCAAAAATAAATATTACCGCGTGAGGCGTCTGTTTTGTTCGGTGAAACTCGTCGCGCGCCGCGTAAATAAATAAACAACTATTTGCATACGATTTGTATACACCGCGTTTTTCGCGAGGGATCAATGCTCGCTAATATATCTGTTGTCTCGCATTAGGAAATTTTATATAAAAAATTGAAATCTGAAAATTTTCCGATCGTGAAATTAATTTCGCGAGCAATTTAAGTAATCACGTTAAATCGCTTCGCGCAGGCGCCACACGATATCGAATTTTATTTAATGACGAACTCTGTACTTTACAAAATGCAATCGCGACGCAACCTCACGCGAGAGAAAAAATTGAAAAAATTGAAAAAATAACGATCGGCGGAAGATCTATCGAGGCGGGTGATATGTTGCGCATTTTCTGTAGCGCTATCTCTGTTGCGCAATCTCTGCGCGTTGGCGCACTGATCGAGACACTTGAAAGATCGCATTCAATAAAACTGAATAATTTTACAAAATTTTGAATTCAGAGTGTATACTCGATACTTTAATGGCAATTGGGAGAAAAATATTTGAAAATTTGCCAAATTTATGTAAAAATGCATTATTAATAATATTATTATTTGTAAAAGCGATCTTTCAAATGTTTCGAGCTTTATTGGACGGCACATACACACACTACACCACAGCAAAGTAAATCGCATTGATTTATAAACATGCATTACATGGAAAGACTTTTTGTCTTTCTATTACCAATTTATTTTTTTATTTGACTCACCGATCCGCCGATCAGGGCAGCCACGTTCTGCTTTCGTATCTGGAACAGAAAAATGTTTCGCTGATTAGATTCGTGCATTGATGCCGGTTTGAGTAAAAAAGTTTGAAATATTAAAAAAAAATAAGCGCGCGATACTTTTCACGCTGGGAGAGTTTTTCGAAATGCATTCACATTTAGAATATTCAATTTTCCTTTTTCTCGATATTTCACAAAAATTTCTTAATTAAAACAAATCAATATTTTTCAAGTGGTGATGTTACTCAGGAAAAATTCTTCCCGCGTATAATTATGATTTAACGCGATCTTTGACTCGATTTCGAACAAGAGAATTATCAATTTTATTGGATTTCTAATGACAAATGCTAATTAAGGAAACTAACCTTCGAGCTAACCCTGCTTGGCTCGAACCGGATCCTCCGATGCAGCAGCCCCTAAGAGTCAGCTGGTCGTCTGCTTCGTCTCTGCAACAGAAATCAGATTTAATTTAATATTACACACGACAATGGAGGCATTAAAGAACTTGATTCTAAACAAGAGAATTTCCAGTTTTATCGGATTTTTAATTACAAATTCAAATAAGTGAAACTTACCTTCACGCCAACTCTGCCAGGCCCGAGCCGGATCCTCCAGCGCAGCATCCCCTTAATGCCGTTACGACAATTTCTTTACCTCGTCCTTAATCAATTATTATTACCGTTGCTCAGTTATTGTTCTTCATTGTTATTACCGATTATTCGATCATCGTTATTCAGTTATTATCCGCTCGCGGTTATTATCACACGATTGTCGAATAGATATTATTATAATTATTATAAAAAAATAATAATATTCGAATAATAAATGGTAGTGATAATAATATTTGATCGACAATCGTAACTGATAATAGCCGCGAGCGGATAATAACTAAATAACAATGATCGAATAATCGATAATAACAATAACTGGGCAACGATAATAATAACTGATTAAAGACGAGGTAAAAAAATTGTTGTAATGGCACGCCCGAGTTGTTTTTCTGTGCGTAATAGCAATAATTAAATAATAACCGAATAAAGATGTAATAATACTCGAATAATAAACGGATAATGATAATATTTAATCGGCATTAAGGAACTCGATCATGACGTTTCTCTATCTAATAAGTAAAAAAATAAATGAAACGCGGTAATTACTCGCTGCGGTAAAGTTCGCAACACGTGCTCGCGTGATAAGTACACATCTCAACTCGTGTTAATTATCGGCTTAATTATGGCGAAGTTAAAATGCGGTATGAAAAATCGGCGCAAAATAGTTTAGAAAACAACGCGGCAACTTCGCGACGCGCTCGCCTCGGCGGCTAACAGCGTTGTGGCGTGACTCCCGAGCGCGTGCTCGCGCACGCGTGTTTACCTGATCGGCCGCACCCCCCTCCCCCCCGCCCCGACGCGCCAGTCAGTCAGCGGCACGGCTGGCCGTTACGACGATCTGTTTACCTAGCCTTTGTTGAGCTTAGAGTTTTTGTTAGAGCCGTTACCCAGGTATTGCTATTACCGATTATTCGATCATTATTTCTTTATTATCCACTCGCGGATATTATCACACTATCGTTGAGCAGATATTATTATCACTATTTAATATTCAAGTTATTACTTCTTTATTCGATTATTATTTAATTTATTCGGTTATTATTTAATTATTGCTATTGTGCATAGGAAAGCAACTCGGACGTGCCGTTATGATAATTTCTTTACCTCGTCCTTAATCAGTTATTATTGCCGTTGCTCAGTTATTGTTCTTCATTGTTATTACTGATTATTCGATCATCGTTATTCAGTTATTATCCGCTCTCGGTTATCACACGATTGTCGAGTAGATATTATTATAATTATTATAAAAAAGTAATAATATTCGAATAATAAATGGTAGTGATAATAATACCTGATCGACAATCGTAACTGATAATAGCCGCGAGCGAATAATAATTGCATAACAATGATCGAATAATCGAATAATCGATAATAACAATAACTGGATAACGATAATAATAACTGATTAAAGACGAAGTAAAAAAAGAGTAATAGCATGCCCGAGTTATTTTTCTGTGTGTAATAGCAATAATTAAATAATAACCGAATAAATTAAATAATAATCGAATAAAGAAGTAATAATATTGGAATATTAAATGGTAATGACAATAATATCTGTTCGATAATCGTGTGATAATATCTGCGAGTGGATAATAACAAAATAATGATGATCGAATAAGCGGTGATAACAATGAATAACAATTACTGGGCAACGGTAATAATAACTGATTAAAGATAAAGAAATTGTCGTAACGGCACGCTCGAGTTGCTTTTCTATGCGTAATAGCAATAATTAAATATTAACCGAATAAATTAAATAATAATTAAATAAAGAAGTAATAATATTCGAATATTAAATGGTAGTGATAATAATATCTGTTCGACAATCGTGTGGTAATATCCGCGAGTCGATAATAATGAAATAATTATGATCGAATAATCGGTAATAACAACATATTGTCTGGGCAACGGTTTTAACAAAAACTCTAGGCTCCACAAAAGCTAAATAAACGTACTGTCGTAACGGCCCGCTCGTGCCGCTGACTGAGCGCCGCGTGGCCAGGTCATGTAAACACGCGTGCGCGAACACGTGCTCGAGCATCAAGCCGGGTACAGACTTGAGCACAAACGCGTATGAGGCAAGCTGACGCCACACCGAATGCCTCGGACTGCGAAATAAAGTCTCCGCACGATAATGCATGAGGCAATTGTTCGACGTTGCTCCAATCATTTGGGTCACCGGAACTGATGTACGAACATGGAAGAACGCGTCCAAACTGAACACGAATTGTTTTTAATATACCGACAGCGCTCGGCTCAGGCCGTGCGGCGAATAAGCCGAGGCAATCTGCCGCGCCTCGGATCAACGTCCACACTCGCATGCTCATGCGGTATCAGTTTGCCTCATGCGCGTTTGTGCTTAAGTTTGTACCCGGTTTATCACATTCAACCGTTAAGACGAGCACATCGGGAACTGCCGATGATCTAGGGTGTGTTCCGATATTTACTGCCAGTACTGAAAATCTATAGTATACGTAACATTAACTATAGATTTTCGGTACTGACAGTGAATATCGGAACGCACCCCTAAGGTGCGTTCGGGGAGCACACTACTAACGCTACCGCGTTCTTCCATCTTTATTGCTCCTTAGATACACAACAAGAATAGAATGACATGGTAGTGCTGAATAGCGCTAATAGCGAGCTCCCCGAACGCACCTCTAGTTTTGCAATAATATCGCCGTTAGCCAGTGATGAAAACTTTGCGAACAGCACGCATCAACACGGGAGGGGATACACACACACTCACGAGATCGTGCCCATGAGCCTCACGGACATGGTCGCATGAATGTGTGCGTATCTCCTCCCGTGTGATGCGAGCTGCTCCCGGAGCAAAGTTTCTATCACTACCGCTAGCTCGCTTCGTGCCTACGTCGCGCGATCCGCTCAGCAGTGATGAGACAAGAATAGAGCGATTGGACATCTGTCCTTTTCTAACTTATTATCATTGTACGGAAGTACAACGGGCATGAACCAGGGCCCCTATTCTTGAAATAGTTGCGTATATATAATGCGTATATAAATTGCGTATTTTACTGTACAGGTTTAATCATACTATAAAATAGCTGCGCAATGAAAATTATGTATACGCAAAAATTTCAAGAATAGAGCCCCAAGTGTATTTTATCATTATCATCGCGAAATTGCGCTTAACGAACGCAGTAAAGACGCACTTTGTTAAATAGCGTTTCGAAAATGCGCTTATCTCTGGCTATTGAAATCAGGCTGGTGGCCGCTCTTATATTTCTCTCTGATACAACTATCAATACATGGAAGATAAATATTATATTAAAATAAAAAAAATTTTCATTTGCAAAATTTTTTGTTGTTTTTGATACATTATTTGGTGTTTTTCACTCTGTGTAAAAGCATTTGCAATTCTATGCAAATAAGAAAGCATTGCAAAATATGAAACTGTATTGTGTCGGTATCTAGTATCCCCTCAATCTCCTTACAATCTTCAATATCCGTTGTGTCGTAAGACATGAGCTTTAGTCCAACCTCGTTCTCATCGAGAGAGGGCACTAGTGTACGGCACAACTTTTTGCAAGACTCTTCTGGCGCTGTCCGATGCAAATGCACGTCTGTGGCAAATGTCGGCCAATGTCGACTGCAGGAAAACGCGTTCTAACCGCGCCGACCGCGAAATGTGAAATACGTATGTTTATGTCGTATGATCGTGTAATGTAATTGTCATTGCCAACCCGCATTCGAGTACACTACGTCTAGCCATGAGCTCGGAAATCTATTGCATAGATATGTGCCGTGCCTGTATGAAAACCGACGGCGTCCTGTTGTCGGTATACGACGATGATATTAAACCTATGAATTTACCGCACAAGCTCATGGATCTCACGTCTGTCCAAGTAAGCGAATTGATGAATTGTTTTTACGACGTGCAAATAAGCTCACAATCACGTAAACTTGCGTGGAAAAATACAAAATTGCGCATCCAACCTCGCACTAGTTTGCCAAACAAAAGTGATCAAAGATCTGTTTAGCTGAATTGCCTGAATTGATGCAATAAGTTAAAGTGAAACAAAATATATTTGTTTCATTCTAATTGATTACACCAGCTCAAATAGTTCAGCTAAAAAAAGATCTCAACTGAATTTATGACTGCAGATGTATATAATGAGCTTTAATTTCATTTAATTGATTCAATGCTAAAAATTATTACCAAATTATTTTGAGCAAGATGCATGAAATTATCAAATATTATTTTGTAGTTTAGTAAGGCCACAAGTTTGGCCACAACAGAGAATAAAGAAGTATGCATCATATGTAAATAATTTGCAGCTTGCTAATGAAAATCTTTTCTGAAAGATTAACAGGTTCGATGGATTGCCCAGCAAGTTTTGCTATAAGTGTGCTTACCGTATTCAAGTTTTATATGAATTCAAGTACTTAGTACGAGAAACACATAAGACATTATTAAAGATGTTTGGAAAACAAAAACATATACTGAAGGTACAGTAATGACATTATCTATCTGATAAGTAACATATAGATAAATTCTCTATTTACACTGAGAGAAAAAATATATAAAAAGTAAAAAATATCTATTCAGTGTGGGTACATATTTATTTATAATATAAAATATTTTTCAAGTAAGAAAATATATATTTTCTTAAAGCCTTAGCTTTTCACGCAAGCAATTGTTTATTCAGTTTAAAGAAAAAAATCTAGATTTAAGAGTAAATATGTTTTTAGTACCCATTAAATAAATATTTTTATCTTTTTGATGTTTTTTCTCAGTGTAGGTGTTAAATTTTAATAAATGAATCAACTGTTCCAATTAATTGTTATATAGTAAAGTTTTCAATCTTTCAAGTTTTTATATTTTCTCTTTTTTTTCTAGAAAAAGCCATTGGATAAAAACGATGACATGAATATTTCTACACAAATGAATGAAATCATTAAATTTATATTACCAAGTGATCAGAGCACCGATACCCCAGAGAATGTAACGACTGAGATAGTAGAAGAGACAAATAACAACACGGAAGAAGTCATGGTCAATATATCTCATTTTTTGGAAAACTATGATGATATCAAAGAGAGTAATCTGAGTTGGGATGATGTTGCCAATTTACAAGGAACTGGTGAGATGCAGATTGATGAACATCCCATGAAGACCAAGGAACCAGAGAAAATTACAAAGATCTTTGACTCAGAACAATACACAATAGTGTATGTACCGGAATCTGCGATGGAATCTACCGAACAAATTTCGATTTTTGACATGGATAAAGAAAAAAGCGAGAAAGACTGCAACACACTTGAAGCTGCTGTAGAAATATTGGAGAAACAGGAGGAAATGATCGAAAAGATTCCGCCCAACGTGTGCGCTTCTAGCCTAATAGAATTCGAAGTATACACGAAGGAAAAAGACTCTTCATACTCTTCCACGATATCTAAGAACGACTCAATGGAGAACAAAGAAGCGAGCGAAAACAATGTTTCGAAAATTGAACAGTTTTCAGCGCAAGCAGAGAACACGGATGAATCGGACTCCGATTACTTCATTGATCACAAGGATAACATATTGGGTAGCCTGAACGACACAATAATGCGGATAAAGGAAGTGCGAAAGGGCGACTTAATTATGTACCAATGTACATTGTGTCTACAGAACTACAAACAATTGTCAGACATGCTGCTGCATACCATCGACAACCACGTTCCTAGTAGCGGGCCGTTCTACTGCGTGGTATGCGAGAAGGATTGCGAGAGCCACCGGGAATTGCGAGCGCACGCGAAAACGCACACCGGCATTCAGCCGTACTCGTGCTTCATTTGCGACAAGGCGTATGCCGTGAAGCGTTACTTGAAACGGCACATGGCATGCCACGTCGACTTGCCGCGCTTCCGTTGCCCGAAGTGCGGCATTCGCTTTACCGTTAAGACAGAACTGGACAGGCACATGACGACGCACCTGCGCGGCGCACCTTTTGCTTGCAGCCAATGCTCGCGGACATTTAATCACAAGGGCAATTACAAGCGACACCTGATTACTCACTTGGACCCACATGGTCTTCAAATGCACAAGTATCCGTGCAAGATCTGTGGCAAGCGATTCCCTAATAACCGCACGCTGGAAACACACGTACGCGTTCACACCGGCGAGAGGCCGTTTTCTTGCGAAATCTGCAGTAAATCGTTCTCACAGCAAGGTAACCTGCTGAACCACGTGAGAATACATTCCAATCCACGTAAATACAGATGCGATATTTGCGACAAAAGGTTAGTAGCAATGCCAAAGCTATCGAGGTCATACTGATGTTTATACTTATAGATAATATATTTACACTAATACCTGATGTTTATGCTTCTCATAAAAGACTTTGATATATAGCAATACATCCAAATTGTTGACATCTTCTTGGTCACTGATATTCTAGAAAAGAATTTGGTTTTTCATGCGACCAGTGCTGCAGTTAAAGGATGATGAATAAAATGGCTGTAATGAGATAAAACGAGTAAGATGGATCGATTCTTGTCTAAAAAATGAGCAAGGTAAGTTAATCTTACGTTGCTTATTTTTTAGATAAAAATCGATCCATCTTACTCGTCGTACTTTCTTGTCTGCACTCAATGGCCCATATTCTGAATCCTTTTTTATTTATAAAAGTGTCTCTAAAAGAGGCTTAGAAGCCACTTGATTGGTTGAGAAGCTACATTTAAGATACTTTTATCGATAAAAGAGGATTCAGAATATGGGCCTATGATTCCAAAACAGAACCTCACAGCTAAAACTGTGAACAACGGCCATTGGTTGCAAGATAAACCAGACTTTTTTAAAATGTCGATGACTAATGAGTATCAATAATTGAATGTTTTACTCCATATTATAAAAACAACACGTTGTATGTATTCTAAGTTATTATTTATTTACAATATTTCTATTGCGCTGCAGATAATTTTATAATGTTACGAATCTCTGCAAGAAAAAAGTAAATTTTTTTAACGATATCTGCTAAGTTAATAAGTATATTTTTTTTTATTGTGACAGTTTTAATCAGCGTGCCACGTTAAGGGATCATCAGCTATTGCACACAGGTGAGAAACCCCATGTGTGTAATATATGTGGAATCGCATTTACGTTTAGCGCGGCGTTGAGGAGGCATATGTGGTCCCACGAGACTAGAAAACCATTTAAATGCGATACATGCAATGCGGAATTCATTGGCAAGTACGATCTACGACGACACAGTCAAGTACACAAAAACCAAGCCCCAGTGAAAATGAAGAAACCTACGTTGAAATTGTGCGATGTTCTTCGAGAGGAATTCAACATAGAAGATTCAGTCGTAACGGAGGAACCAGATAATGAAACTGTACTCACAGAACAAGTTTTGCAAGACGACGTCACGGAGGTTGTGCATCAAGCCGAATCAGAGAAAGAGAACGTTGATGCGTTATTCAACTTCATATAGTATGATACATAATATTACACTATTTACACTAATACGTTTACATTTAAAATATTTACACTAATACAGACTATACACTATTCTATAATTAAGAAAAATTACTATTTTTTTGTAATTTTTTTGTATTTTATCTTATTCAATACTCATTTGTTTTTTATTTAATTCATATCAATCAATGGCAAAATGAAATTCATTCGGTAAATTTAAGTCAAAGTTATTAGACTAATTGATTTTTTTTATTTATAATTTATATGTAAATATATATTTTTTTGTAGTGAAAATGTGCAGATATTGAATGTTAACTTTTGGAATTCTTTGATAGCTTTTGGTAATAGTTTTTTTTTATGAAAATTGTAGAAATGTAAATCCTTTTTTGAGACTTTTTGTAGAAATAAAAGTACTGTGTTTTAAAATATTTAAATATTAATATTTAATATTTTCCAAAAAGAAATTTTTTCTTTCATTAGTTATTCGTGAATCACAGTACAAAAATATCATTAATTGTATCGTAATGTACATATACTCTGTTACTAAACGGTTTATACACATTTTCACTATTAAAGTTGCAGCGCCTCAGGTTGTCACAAGTGAGAGACATTACTTACATATTTGCACAATAAATAATTATGAAAGGAGCCGAAATGACAATACATGAGACATCTGATGTCATAAATGCAACGAAAAATTCAGGGAAAAAAGCTAGTATTTATATTCTTATCTACCAGATAAGACTATAATAAAGGATTGTTATTTATATCTTGACATAATATCGGCATCTGACTTAACCACAGCAATGTCTCCCAATTTTGACAACCTGGAATGCTGCAATTTTATTTGGAAAAATGTGTGAAAACCGTTATCAACTGAAAGATATACAGTTTTATAATTTAAAAAAATTTTGAGATATGCAGCTTTAAACAATTTAAGAGTATTGCTTATTCATATAGTACATGAATACTAAAGATTTTGTTAATAAATTATAATAACGAAACTATTATAATCTGCATTTATTAAAAGTAATTATATTTATTTACTCTTTTGATTTAATATAATCACGTTGTTGAGACAGGAGTTCCAAATAGATTATATAAAATTATGAGAGTAATATTATTAATATTAAGCACAATAGGAATATTTTGCACTACCAAAATAATTTAATATTTCACGAAACCAAAATTTTTGCTGTATGCAAATGTTGTGTTATTTTGTTATTTTAAAGTTTCTTGTAAAAAGGTAGCTCTATTAAGTAAATATAAATTAGAAAATATCATTATATATATACATATACATATTATACATTTAATATATATATTAAATATAATATATATATTATATAATATTATATTATATATATATATATATGTTACTAACAGACACATATATACATATATAACACAATAACACTAAACATACACATATTTTGTATATATGTAAGATATTTTAAGTTTTGCACAAAATTATTAATATGTAAGCTATCTTTTTGTAATACCTTTATGAATACAGTAGGAATACTGTATCTATTACATTGATGAATTACTTTTAAATATGTAAATTATTGCTTAGTGTAAAAATTATGTTTTAGCAGGAAATACTGTCTGCGATATAGTAAACATTCTGTTTCACATTTAATTAATACACGATGTAATGACAAAATGCTTTATCAATGATATGATTTTTATGATTGGTAAACATTATTAATTATTATTATACATATATTTTTTGTAGATATATATAAGGTATTGTAACTTTACAGAACATGATCAACTATTATTTATATAAATTATTTTTATTTAATCTATATAAATCTCTCTCATAGGAATCATATATCTTTATATATCATATAAAGATAATAAACTTCTTTTATGAGACTACTGTATTCCTATATACAATATATACTTAATATAAAATATATCTATCTATATTTCTTTCTAATGCCAAAATTTACATTATACATATACATATTGTTATTGTCGCTATTATATAGATCAAATCATTCAAAGTGCATTGGTCTCTGGTAATAGGTCTGTTTTTTTAGCTCAATTATCTGAGCTAGTGCGCATTGATGCAAGTTAGAGTAAGACAAATATATTTTGTTTCACTCTAATTTATTGTACTAGTTCAGGCAGTTCAGTTAAAATAAACAGACGTAATATTTTGTCGGTGCTTGAGATTAACTCTGAAGAAAATTAAGATTTTATGATTGACACTCACCGATTTTCGGCAGATCAGAAGCGATGACAAAACGGTTTGAACTGGAAAGTTCCATGCAATAACGTACAGACGATACTTCACTTCACACGGATCAATCCATTATATATTCTTTCCCTCGATGATTAACAGTATTTATCACGAGAAGTTTACTTTTGGCATCCCCAATGACGATTCGCGACACTCTTAGCGGGTAGAGAGCAGCGATTTGAATCCCGAAATTTGAATTTCGAATCGCCATAACGCAACAAAACGTTTCGCCCGACACTGCCGGCGAGCTATTCGTTTATTTCACGACGGACGCGCGAGATTTACTTTCAGCACTCCCGGTGACGACACTCGTTACGTGAAACTCACCCTCAGCAAGTCGAAACAGCAGAATATACGGAACAACTCGTCGATTCTGCAATCTGTTCCATGGTCCTTTCTTGATTGATGATCACACGTCGCAGTGATTGCGATTCTCAAAGTCCACGGCACAGCCGGCCAATCACGCGTTGAGCTGCTTACAATTTAATTCAAACGTAGGTCACGTGATCGCGCTAGTTGCGGTCAGGGATGGCAACGTCGAGAGAAGATAACGCGTTCAAATATATTCGTCAATTCTAAGAGCATTTTGGTCAATGAACTATTTCACGACCATAGAAACAACCAACCATCTAAGAGCATTTATATGGACATCGAATGAATGTATTGAATAGAATATCATTATATTGAATAGACTATTGAATAAAGCTAGCGAGACATACAATGCTTGTTCTCGTGCTGGATTGTTTGCTAGATGAAAGTACTCTGTTTTAATTAGTGCATTTCCATCTATCTTCAGAAATGTACCAATCAGAACAGAGTATTTCCATCTAGCAAGCAAATCAACACGAAACAAGCAATTGTGTGCTGCTGACTTTATACGTGCTTTTAATAAGAGTTATGAAAAACCTTCATTGCGATATTTTGTTTTCAATACAATAAAGATTGAGAGAGAATTATTTTATTGTTCAGAGCGTCTGACGCAAAGTGTCTCAAGATAACATTACTGCATTATCTCACAATCGTGTATCAATTTTCTTTAATTAATAATTAAAAATTCATGTGGCTATTTGCAAAATGAGAACTTTTTTGTTCAGTTTAGTCAAATCTACACAATTACACAAGTTCTACAGTTACAAGTTCTGCGTTCTCTTATTGGACTATTAACTACGCTCTAAAGTTTATTGTATCTAATGCGTCGTTTACAATGGCAGTAGGAGTAGTAGTAAGAAATAGTGAGTGAGTAAATGGACCAATCACACAATCGATTATTACTTGAATTGTCAGAATAGAATTGGTAAATTTGCTTACTGCTTATTTCTTACTACTACTCTTACTGTCATTGTAGATGACGCATAAAGCCTATTCTATAATGGCAGTAAGCGGTAAAAAGTAGGAAGTAAGAGTTTTTATTTGACAGTAGTTACAAGTTTTGCTACTCGTAACAAGATTTTGTTGCATCGCACGTGATTATTTGTCAATTTTCTTTAATTAATAACTTAAAGTGTTACGTCCCAGACAGCACAAGAACTTCTGAGAACGTTCCAGGGATATTCTGAGGATATTGGGACGTTCTCAGAACGTACTCAGGACGTTCCCTGGATATCTGTGCTGTTAGGGGTGATTGTTTACAAAATGCTAAAGGAATTTTGTGTTCAGCTTGACCTAATTTACATGTACACACGAGTGTTTTCCTACCTATTGTCAGGTATTATGCAGTTATATTAATATTGCATACACAGAGATATAGAAATGAAGCGAAAAATCAGATTTAAAAATAAATTAAACATTAACAGAAAACAATATTACATTCTCAAGAATACTTAAGTGATTGGTCAATTGGCTTAGTGAAAAATTTTGTTGTAATTTTATTATAATTTTATTATACAATAAATAACACGATTTAAACCCATTGTATCCCATACAGCAAAAGTTTGAAAAAGATTTCAGAAAGATTTCAGAAAGATCTCAGAAAGGTTTAATGTTTCTGAAACCTTTCTGAAACTTCTATGTTGTATGGGAAGTAGTAATGGTATGTAGTAAAAAGTAAGAAGTAAGAGTAAGAAATTGACCAGTCGAATAAATATACTAGTTTAAAAATATTTATTCGTAGTCGAATGTGAGAAGAATAATCAACTATGATTGGTCAATTTCTTACTCTTACTTCCTACTTTTTACCGCTTACTGCCATTATAGAATAGGCTTTATGCGTCATCTACAATGACAGTAAGAATAGTAGTAAGAAATAAGCAGTAAGCAAATTTACCAATTCTATTCTGACAATTCAAGTAATAATCGATTGTGTGATTGGTCCATTTACTCACTCACTATTTCTTACTACTACTCCTACTCCATTGTAAATGACGCATTAGATACAATGAACTTTAGAGCGTAGTTAATAGTCCAACAAGAGAACGCATTATTAAAAAATAAATTCTCTCATTGGACCATCGGCTACGCTCTAAAGTTCATTGTATTTCTTGCGACTTACTGTATTTCTATGGTCTTTATACATAACCCTAACTGGTGTGAATTACATATTAATACTTTTATTCCAAAATATACGCTTTTTATATGGAATATTCATTAGTTTAAGAATATATATTCGATTTTCTATTTATATTTTTTCTTAAATCGACATTGGCTTGCACATTGCACATTGGTTTATATCGTGCACTTGATACGCGTACTATAGTACTATAATACTATAGTTCTATAGTAAATAGTAACTTTCTATTAAATAATCTTAATATCGACGATATATATAAACAACGGTATATTAAGCTGTTATAATACTCATCAAGAAGACGTATCGATTGAATGCGTCGTCGTTGATATGCATTGTCAATATTAAGATTATTTAATAGAAAGTTATTATTTTTCAATTATAGTAATTATAGTACTATAGTACTATAGTACGCGTATTAATTACACGATGTAAACCAGGCCATTAATTCTGTTCATTTCCGAAGAACTTTCTACTAGTCAATCATGAATTTTTTCCTCTAGCGTGAACTCGTGAAAAGTGAAAATTTTGTAATGTAAAAACATATAGAAATATTTATTTTTCACGAGTTCACCAGTTTAGGAAGTTTTTAAAGAAAAAACATATAGCAAATTCGGGTTTTTGCACTAGTGCGCACTAGGGATTGTTCATAGTTTGTTCTTATATTTAAGGTCGTCTTAAATACATCTTCAAAAACTTTTTAGCTAGCAAAACAATACGTACGGATTCTGTACAGATGATTTCACTAGATAAGAAGTATTAGAAGATATATTTAAGACGATCTTAAATGTAAGAACGGACTGTGTGAACTAGAGATGCCCAATTCTGAATCGATTCGATTCTTTCCTCAAAAATAGGCTTATTCATGTTGTTTGCACTCTTCGCACTTTTCGTATTTAAAACTAGACAGAAGTATATTGGAATGTTTCGAAGAAGCAAAAACGAGACACCAACTCGATTGTTTCTTCCAAACGTCTGATTAGGCGTCCATCTCTTTTTAAAAGCGGAAGGTATGAAACATGCATGCAGCACGAACAACCCTTTTTCCCTAAATTTGTTAAGGAAAGAATCGAATCGATTAAGAATCGATTAAGCATCTCTAGTGTGAACAAGCTTTATACATATAGTGGGCACTCAGTGCACACTAGTGCAAGTGATTGAATTCGCGATTAATATATATCTTTCTCTCTTTCTTTCCCTTTTTCTCTTTTTCTTTCAATGTATAGCACCAGATGTCCCTAAGGCAAATTTCCCGATTAAAGTGATTCTAGCGCCTTAATATCTAATATTCGTATATTGGCACATCTCTAGTCGCGTCGCGGCAGTTCATGTTGTTGAACGTTAGTGCGAGTCGGGTCACGTCCGTTGCGCGTTTCTCGTGTCTTTTCACTCGTCGGAGATGAATCTCGCGCGCGATCGCGTGTCAGGATGCCGAATTGAGTAACGGGCGACAGTCTCAACGCGTAAATCGGTCTGCGCGAGTGCGATTGAACGCGATGCCAGTTGAGGCTCGCAACCGTTGTCGGTTAAGTCGCGGAGGGAAGTGTAGCGAGTCTACTCGAATCGCAACTCCTTTCGTCATGTTTACTTCCGCGCCGGGAGCGGATTTCGAACAAACGTCGAGAGTGTCGAATTCGGTGACGATCGTTTCAACCTGCTTGAGTGTTGCCAATAGCGATGTCTCGATACACTCAGAGGCAAGGAGGTCGATCGTGTTGACGAATACGAAGACGCAAAAATGAGGCGCCTTTACTCCTGCCGGACACGGACGATGTGAGACACGGCGCATTCATCCTCTGGTGAGTCTTTTATCCACATATTTTCCGGGAGCAATGTTAGACTGTGTACATCATTCAGGCGAATGGAAAGTCGCGATGAGTCGCCAAAGTGGCGAGAAATGCTCGAATCATGATTCGAAAATGAGTTGTTATAGTTGCTTGTCATCAATTTGACGTAATCATGATTTCTTGCTTCGCCTCTAGGCGCGTTTGAATTTATACGGCAGTTATTGAGATAAGTGGAGAGGTTGTTTCTGTCTGACCACAGATGGCGCCATGTGCGTCACTTCACTGCACGGTGCCTTTCGGTCTGTAAAACGATTTATTCTTTTCTTTTATAAAAAATTTGTTAGTCGAAAAAAGTTCGTTTATGCGAATGTCATTTTGAAACAGCAACTGAATAAAAATGTCTCGTAATTGTTTCAATAGAAATGCCACGAGAATCGAGTGATAATCTAATTTCGCTTCTTACTTTATATTAAATGAGACAACGTCGCGTCAGGTTGTGTACTTTAATGATATATAATCGTGTCACACAGTCATTCTTCTCCTATATTAGATATATTTCTTCTGTATGATTGATTGAGCAAATTTTATAATTTCCAACCTCTCCGCTAGATGACGTCTCCAGTCTGTCAAATTGTTAAAAGCCGTAAAAAGCTTTTTAGGCATTCTTTGTTTCCTGGGACGATTAATACAGATAACATTTTGCGTATATATGTTAATTAATAGTTATTATTAATCGCTCAAGTGCTATTGTGGTTAGTTTACTGATTAATTGTCGTGGCTTAGTAATTGGCAGTTGTTTCGTAAACAATTCGTAGTTTCGAAATATGAATCCTGAAGCCGTATACGCTCAGTAATATTAGATAGTAATTGAATTAATTAATTTTCGATGCTGGCACGGGGCTCGAATAGGTTTCATCGTATAAATTAAATAATTATTTGAATGCTGATTTATATATTAAATTGCAATTAATCTATTTTTGATTCCACCCAACCATCACGTGGGCGTTTGATTTTTAGCTTTTATTTTAAAATTTATTTATCTTTGCCTTTAATTATTACTAAAGTAATCCGTTATTCTACGTCCCATATTTTTGGTTGAAACTTTTGTATATATATTCCCTTTGTGATTGCTCGGAATATCTATGGATATACTATATCAGAAAAGTTTCTAAAATACTATAAATTCACAGGAGTTATTTTTATTAAATTCTGGAATACCATATAATATTCATTATAATATCTACTACACAGTTGTGTAATAGTAATCGGAAAATTTATAGAGAGAAATAAATAAATTATATAGTAGAGAGAAATAAATAAATTGACATGATTTAAAATGTAATAAAAAAAAACAAGTTCAAAACATCAAATAATAGCATAAGACAGTGTGAGAAAATATTTGAAATAATTTACACGTATATTGATGAAAAGTTATTGCTTATGCAATAATGCTCACTGGATTTTTTCGTTTGAAAATTCTCCTAATCTTTTTTAACAACTTTGCACTCGTGAAAAATCATAATTGTTTGTTTCAGTTGTGTAAGAATTAGACCAGTCTTTTCACAATATTCCCAACATCAAACGTGATTGGCCAAGACCTCAAATTTCCAGCTATCCAATAATATTTAACAATTGTATACACGCATCCGAAGTAAAAAGAAACGCTTTTCACTGTAATCTCACGGTCGGTACCTCGCGGAAGCTTTACTGAGACTCCCGGAGAGGAGGGTGCGCGTGTAGCGGCGTGGAAACATCGCGAAAAGAAGGAACGGCGCTCGGTCGTCTCGCAGCGTCGTCCAAATCAAGGCGCGCGATCGTGCGAACAGCTGACACATGACATGTGTTACCGGCTGCGCGTCCCGTGCGCGATTGAGCTCCGCGGTAAACGTCGCGCGTGGCTGCGCGGCGTACGACTGCGCAGGTGGCGCGTGCGCGCTGGCGGGAGTGTGCTCGCCGCTACAGTGGCGCCAGTCATGGCGGCGGAAACACACGCGCACGCCGCTACCACCGCCACCGCCACCGCTGCCGCCGGTCGGTGCCTCCACGCCTCTACCTCGCCTCCGCCACCGCCACCGATCCCGCGACTCGTGGGTAAGTACCCTCACACTCCACGCTCCAATCAGTCTGCACTCGCATGTCCACGAGGTTGCTCGCACGGGCCTGGCGGCATCCTCTCTCTCTCCCTCTCTGTCCCTGTCGCTTCGTGCCCCCTGTTCTGTCATTCTCTGTCTTGCTCTTTCCCCCTCTCTCTCGCTCTATACACCCTCCCCTCTTGCTCTTTCATTCACCTGACTCTCAACACGAGCAGTGCGTTACACAGCCTGCACGGGGGTGATGCCGATCGCCAGTCGAGATACTGGACGCGGATACTGCAGCCGCGGTTGAGGTTAGGTCGCCGGACCTGTCGGTCGTAGTGGCGGGACGCGACGCGACGCGGCGGATTTGAATTTTCGAACGCGGCCTGCCGTGGCCGTGCCACTACTGCTACGCGCCTTGGGTGCCGCACGTTGATTTACGCGCGTGTCACAATCGTACGTACACGAGGACGATCTTCCCCGTGGTGGACCGTCGTCTGCCTGCCGGCCGGTCTCGCGCGGGCTTGTGATCGTCGTCGGCCACGACTGACAGCTGCTGCCTGCGCGCGCCTGCAGGTTAGGTGGAGCGACGTTAGACCGACGCGCGTTTTTCGAAACAGCGGGAACGTTTGAGAGGATGGTGCGCCGCGAGTTTTTCTTCTCGTCGCAGTCGTCGTCGTCGTCATCGTCGTCGCCGTCGTCGCCGTCGTCGTCGTCGTCATCGTCGTCGCCGTCGTCGTCGTCGTCGTCGTCGCCGTCGCCGTCGTCGTCACCGCCGTTGTTGTTAATGTTATTGTTGAAGTTGTTGCATTCGCGTCTGGTGGATACGCGCAGCGACGGAGACAAGCAGCGGGCCCTGTGAGGTTCTGTGAATGTTCTCGGACAGCCGCGTGCCGCGGCTAGCCGCGCACCAGTTTCTCAGTGCACACGAGGAAAACGTACGCGCACTGGTGATAAACTTGTCATGCTTTCGCGCCCGAGAGCGCAACGCGGATCTCGCGCGTTGCTTCATCGTCGTCGTCGTCGTCGTCGTCGAGCCCGTCTCGTGTCGCGTCGCGTCGCGTCACGTTGCGCGCGAGTTTATCATTCCCGCGCTCGAGCAATGAGAACGTCGTGGCGACAAGCGTCGCTCTGAGGGGGAATTCACACCTTGGCGGAAAAGCAGAAAACAGGCATCAAGCTTCATTTACAATGTATTCTTTGCTTCCTGTTTCTTGTTTTATCTTTTTTGGTTTAAGATTTGAGATTTAAGGTTTAAGAGTCAAAAGGAGATAAAGAGAAAGAAACAAAAAGCAAAAATACATTCTAAATTAAATTTTAAACTTAATTTACAATGTATACTTTTTGTCTTCTGTTTCTTGTTTTCTATCTTTTTCTGGTCTAAGATTGCTGATCTACAATATGTTCTTTGCGTTCTGTTTCTCGGTTTCTATCTTTTTCTGGCTTAAAGCTTAAGGTTTGAGTCAGAAAGAGATAAAGAGAAAGAAGCAGGAGCAAAGAGCATATTGTAAATCTGATTTTAAGATTTGAACCAGATAAAAAGAAAGAACTAGGAAGCAAAGAACACATTCCAGACAGCACAAATGTCCAAAATTGAGTTATAAGACGTCTTTAGGACGTCTTTAAGACATCTTTAAGACAATACCTTATAAACTTGTCTTAAAGATGTCTTAAAGACATCTTATGACCCGATTTTGGACATTGTGCTGTCTGGGATTGTAGGTAAAGCTTCCGCTAAGCAGACTTCGCGCTGGTGGAAAAGCAGACACTATGATTCGACCACCAGCGTAAGTTCTGATTAGCTTCTGCCTTTTTGTCTTCTGCTTTCCTATCAAGGTACGAGTCCCCCCTGGGAACGACTATTATTCGCCTAATCTCGGTCCAAGTTCAGTGTATGCCGCACTTCGACCTGCGGAATGTACAAGCGTCGTGAGGAGAGTGGCTGGCAGTAATTACACGATGAGAACGTCGTCAGTTGAGAATTTTTCTCGCGCGACAGCGTCAAAGGCTCACAAACGCCTTGAAACCAACCGAAAGTGCTAGACACAAGTGGTTGGTTACACAAAGTCAGCTATCGATGCAATTAGAGAACGTTATTATCCCGTGGTATACTCTGTGTGTATCATAATCGTATTCATCCGCGCATCGGACGTCACGGAGCGATCGGTTTTATCGCGAAAGTATCGTTTTCAAACAGTCGGGCTCTCGTACGATGTGCTAGAATGACTCTTTGAATTTCGAGACTCGTTAGACCCGTTAGATGTGGTTTCCCTCACGACAGTTGTGTATTAGCTGATTAGATAAACGTCGCAAAAGTGCCTATCGAGTCAGCTGATTTGCGAGCGATTAGCGAGACACGCTCGTATCTGCGCTACTGAATTGCTGCCGGCACGAAGGACACTGTTGAAAAATAATCACGTATGTAATCCGCGCTCGAATCTGCAACATTACGTCGCGAGCAGCAAGGGTATCGCATCGGCGAAAAATTGCAAAGCGGGAATGCACCGCGTAACGCTATTATCGTATATAAGAGAGGAGAATAAAATTTCGCGCAAACGCTACGCTTGGTGTGTACATTTCACAATTCTCGCGGGAGATAAAATGATTCAGACGTGAAGTGAACTCGAGATCCGCTCGCCCGAAGTAACATTTTCAATCGGTTGTCACTTCCATTACTTTTGCCATATTACGGCACATTATCGCACTGCGCGCGCGAGATCTGTGCGAGAAGGCCGAATACGTTTGAATACTCTTTTAAAACTTGGACTGCGCAGAATTGCTCATCATCTGACAGAGGCAGCGATTATAATCGTTTCGATTATAATTATTTCGCTCTTGCGCGACCGAAGTATCGTTATTCCCGCGGCCCACGGTGATATACAAAATATAAAATTATACGTAAAACACACTAATTCTGCTTCACTTTTTGCTGCGACTTTGGCTTTCGCAGCGAAATCGAATCACGGGCGTAAAGTGATAAGAGGTAAGAGCAGTTAAGTATCTCAAGCCTTTTGTCAATCGCGCGCAAAATCTGCACATCGACTTCGAGAGCCGACTGTCATTTTGCAAAAGCGAACGTCTACACGCTCGTCACGCTCGTCGTCGTTATCGCCGTCGCTATGTTCCTCTCGCGTGCGATTTTCCGCCGGGGAGCTCGCTCGATCGGCCGTCGCGCGCAAGGGAAGGCGACCTGGTCATCGATCGATGCAATTACTCGCGGATCGAATTCGATAGCTTTCTGGCTGAAAGGTTAGAAGTAGCAGAATTTGTCGACACCCGAGCCGCGCCAGCGCCGCTGATTAATTGACAATCGCGATAATTAATGATACATGCGGTGTACCGCGACCCCGCGCCGCGACACGTTGATGTGTTCCATTAAATAGCATTTTGCGGAAGAAAATGCCGAGTGAATTGCCAGCAGACTCGTGCTGCTGCCTGCTCGCTTCGCTCTCTCGAGAAATAATCGCGATAATCCCGGCAACATTTTTGTAGATCGTCAGCTCTCTATGCTTGTGCTTTCATCGATACTTAGTATTGAATAACGTGGTGGGATTTTGCAATTAATTCGACGAGTATTGAGCTGTCATTTTATTATAGCAGTCGTATGTCGGTATGCGCATTTTAGAGCGGAATATCGAGGATATCGAGAAGTTAGGTATCTTGAGAAAGATACGTAATAATCCAAGATTTCAGAGTCTAGGATATTAATCGGAACAATTAGATTGATGTGATTTTAAGAATAATTGAAATATTCGCGCAAGGGAATGCGCGCGATATTCTCGAAATTTTGTTAGATCTCTTCGTAATTCTCGCACTCGTAACACGCGATCGTAACACGGTCTAGAAACTAGCATTCGAAGATTTATCTAAAAAATGCAATTAAAAAATTATCACTTATTGATTTCCAATCGGTGACTATAGTCGGCAGGAAACGGCTAATTGCCGATTATTCTTAACCCGTGATTACGTAATTGATCGGTTTATTTGACGCGAAACGCTGGTAAGAAATCGAATAAATTCATAATTTCGTTCCATCGTGGAGCCACAGTATAATTCTCATCGATGTAATTAATACGTCACGACAGAATTCTCATTGTCGAGCGTGTTGATCGAATTTGCTTCCCGATCGGTGACTATTTGTGTCCGTTTGTTCTTGTCTTGAAGCCATAAAATTTGAATTGTTACAGTCACGATAAAGCTTGATCGAAATTTTCCACTAATGCGATTAAGTGGTTTTTTTTAATGCAAATTGGTTGAAACGATAAAACTTAACGTTACACTGAGAGAAAAATTATATTAAAATCAACAAATATTTCTTTGATGAGTGCCATTAACACATTTACTTAAATCTAAATTCTCTTTATTTAAATTAAATATTGTTCATCTGATTTAAATAAACAATATTTGGTTTAAATAAAGAGAATGTAGATTTAAGTAAATATGTTAATGGCACCCATCAAGGAAATATTTGTTGATTTTAATATAATTTTTCTCTCAGTGTACATACCAGTACACTATTCCATTAAATTTCCAGGAATTATTCTTGACAAATGAGAGTTATTAACAATTATTAAGATGCAGCAACTTGTTGGAAATAAGATTGATGCAATATTTATTTGCATTAATGTTTCTCACACGGCGAGATGCAGCGTGTACATTTAACAAGTTTTGAGTTTGAAAAAATTTGCACTGTTTATATTGATAAAGAAGCACATTCAATTCCTCCAAGAGGCAGAAAACAACAAGAAAAATCCCCGATCGAGAAGTAAATACTACTACACTGAGAGAAAAAATATCTAAAAAATAAAAAATATTTATTTGGTGGGTATTAGTAAGAGATTTACTTTTCAATTTAAATTCTTTTATTTATATAAATAGAATAAACCACTGCTTTCAGGAATAACTAAGATTTTAGGAAAATGTACTTTTTTTATTTAAAGGACATTTTATGTAAACATTAGCATAATAGATAGGATAAACTCGGGCACAATGGCTGTAGGGAAAAGATAGCCACAGGTTATAATTTCCCCAATAATTGCTAAACATTACGTTTTAGCAGCTGAGTACACACATAAACTGTTGTAAGTATCGATTATCTTTGAGAATGATTACAGGAACGTACAATTTTATCAATTATTGGAGAAATTGCAGCCTGTGGTCATCTTTTCCGTATGGCTATCATATCTCGAGTCCATCCTGTGTTATTAGTACTCGACGAAAGAATATTTTCGATTTCTTGGATACTTTTCCTCTCAGCGCAGTCTCAGCCTACGAGCGTTACATTCGCGATCGCGTCATCGCGGAAGGTCGCGGAAGGTCGCGGGAAGCCGATTAATCTGTAAAATCGCTGAACAATTAACGACCGATCAGCCGTGAAACGCGATTAATCGAGTACATCGAGCCGTCGTCTTCCGCGGTCGAGATGTTCTCCCTCTCGAGTTGCGCGTTACTCACTGATCGCGTCACTAACGACGATAGGAAAGTCGACTAAGGTCGACGAGGCACGGAGGGCAGAAGAAAACGACGATCTATGTTTTAGATGGATAATTCTGCGTACGTTCCGAATCATCTACCACCGCCGTCTCTGGTCGTATTCTCGCAGCCCGGAACGCTGCCCGAGGCCTTGAGAATGCAAAGACCCTTCAATCCACAAGTTAGTGTCCCATTGTCCTTGCCCTTCTAACGCCTAAGCCTCCGCATTAGCTTGCACTTGTACGGATTACGATGCATTTCGCATGCCCGCGACACGCGCTAGAACACGCTCTGTAATCCTTCGACTCGCCGACTTTCAGAGACTGCCAGAGAGAGGTTATCGCGAGAACTCCGCGTTCAGGGGCGAGAGCCACCGCGTCGGTTTGCCCGTCGTTTCGCTCTCGTTTCCGCTGGAATATTCATTTACAGGCGTTCCTTGCGGATTGACGTGGAGCGGTCGCGTCTCGCGCGATTATTTATAATCGCGCGTAGCAATTGTTCCGTCGCGTCGTTTGAATTAACGTTGTTCGCGCAAACGTTTCGCCGCGTCGATGGGGCGACGAGTGGGATTTGTCAGGGAGGGGGATCTGAAAGGGTTAAATCACTTTCACGCTCGCATCATGTGCATCGAAACTGCACCGCGGTAATTCGAGTGTATCGCGTGTTCGACGGTAACGTACGTCACGATTTGGCAGAAAAACAACTTGAAATGTGTATAAAACAAACAAATAACGCAAAAAATAATTGCTGGCATTGATTTCAACGAGCGCGCGCGTCGAACAGCTCGAGTTACTCTCATTCCGCTTCGCATGTCTGTGCCGCTTTATGCACGCGAGTACTAATTAATGCGCGCGGTGAATAGAAACTTGCCTGTGCGCGCGTGTGCATGGGTGTGCGTGCACGAATAATAGGTAATATTAAGCCAGTGATGCGCAATTTTCTTCTGTCGAGGGGCAGATTATTGTTTGCTTTAGCAGAGAGTGCGCGTCTACAATAAATGTCGAAATGAAAAATACATATATCATGGTACTGTGAATGGGTGTGTGTATGCATAATATCGTACTATAAATTCAACTATTTGTGCGACTTGCCCATTGCCACATACACACACGTACTGTAAAGTTCAAATAAAAATATGAAAATATTTATATTCATCTTCCATGTATATAAACAAGGAAAAAAAATGCATATCATAAATTACGCATCACTGAATCTACATGTGGTATTTATGCAGTATTACACACAATTTGTATTCGCAAAGGAACAAATGGAGACGGCGATATACGCAGTAAGTATTCTCTGTGTGATTTGGCAGAGATTCACGATACAATAGAAACTAGTTGTAAGTATCATTGGCAGGATAATTGGAAATTTTTATATCACTTTCAGGAGGATTAATCGACGAATTTTACATGCTGTTCCCCGATGTGCGTGTGTCTCACGACGCGCGAATTATAGAATATATCATAACGGAACTTCCGATAATAACGAGATTCATTTAGGAGATACAATTTTATCCCGCGCATATTACTATCTCATAACCCCGATTGCTGCGAACATTTAACGAACGGGCGGCGTGGTTAATTATAAACGAATTCGGCGGTGTTTTTAAACGCGCTTGAATATTTTTCGTACGCGCGGGACATCAATCGGGCGCGGATAACGCGGACAACGCGGTAACGGTAGATACAGAACAGTAGAGTCGGTAGAACAGGAGAGACTGCGACAGCGAGGAAGAGAGAGAGAAAGATAGAGGCTGCATCAAAATTCAGCGTTGTTAAAAAATGAGATAATTTCGAGGCGAACCTAATTGCGGTGGCGCGATGACAAAATACGCTCGCGTTTCGTCGCCCGCGGGAGCGGGCGGGAGAGAGAGAGAGAAAGAGAAAGAGAGTGAGAGAAGGGGGAGAGGGAAGAGAGAGAGGATGAAAAAAGGAGATTATTGCAAATATGCAAGCGGCGCGCGTCGCGCGCGGTCGGTCGGTCGCGAAAAAAGGGCAGGGGCCGCAATTAAAATAATAATGAATACCTAATAAATCACTGATTGGACTGCGAGCGCAAATACGCCGGCCCGGGCGAACGCGAACCTCATTTCCCCGTATAAAAGAATAATAAACTAATCGCGGCGTACTAATACCCGCGCGTGTAACTCATCGTCCGCGTCATTATCGGCCGAATGAAATGTTTATCCGGAAACCAGCTGTCCGTTCTCGCCGATGAAATCATTTCGGACTTCCGTTCGGCAACCCCTTAGTCGCCACGGGGATGTTGGCGAGTAATCGTGGCTCTTCGCACTTTGTGCTCTTGCACAGAGATGAATTTTACATAGAACTCTCTCTCTCCCTTTCCTTCTCTTTCCTCCTCTCTCTCTTTGTCTCTCTCTCTCTCTCTCTCTCTCTCTCTCTCTCTCTCGTTCTCTCTTTTATTTCTCTCCTTTTCTCTCTTCCTCTCTCTTCCTCTTTCTATGATTCTATGCGAACTGTCGCAAAACGGCTCGCGCTGCGAGATAGAGTTTTGCATTCTGTTGGAAATATACGCGATTAAAAGAAATTGCGGCAATCTCGTTACACATATTTTCCCCGCGATAACGGCAACAACGGGCGAATAATTCCAACGCTTTTTAAACCATACACGTCATATCTCTTCAGACTTTTACAAAACACTACGATATAACGGACAATTTCCTCTTATAATGAATTTCAAAAAACAGTTTCGTAAATACTCTTGAAATACGACGAAATACACGCACACGCACGTCGTCGTCGAGATACGCGCGTCGGCGTTAAGCGTTGAAACGATCTTTCATGTAGCTCGTGTTATTTTGCATTTCACGGAAAAGTCGAGACGCCGGCAACACAAAATCCCCTTCGTTATTACTTCGTCCGTATTTAATACATCCCGATAATTCTGGCATTATAAATGTTACAAAACCAAATGCGTAGATGCTTCAGCCGAGTATTCAGTATGCGGCTTAATAGACTCGTCAATCACGGCGAATTGAATGATACAACTGACGGGATTGGAAGGGAGCGAACGCGGCGCGGCAGGGGAGGATACGGGGGGAGGGGGAGAAGAGCTTCAGGTTTTGACGGATTATTATAACACAGTGGTTTCGCGTTATTAACAGTATACCGCCACGTTGCTTTGATATTATATGCCATTCAGACGTAGCCGAAAGCGCGGAAATACCCACACGCTGCAAATGAGCTATCGAGTTACGCGATTTAAACATTTTTCCCTTCATCGACGCACACGGCATAAAGTTATCCCGGCGAGCTTGATAACACGCCTGTTTCTCGAAATCAGAGCAAATATCAATGGTTCCTTTGCGAACGTCGATACCGTTGTAGTTTACACGAAATGGGGATTAAAGATACGCGATTCGGTGCGAATTGTGCGCAAAATTTAGTAATGAAATGTTTCATAAGAAATTTGTCGAGCTAAATTATATGCAAAATTGCAGTGCCCAACGCATTTTTTCATCATGATCCTATGATGTTTAAGCAATATACGTGCTCATCTGAATAATTGCATTTATCTGCATTAACTTCATTGATCCTCATATTCGAATCCTCCTTTTTCTGGTTACTTAAGAACTGTTCAATGATAAAACATATTATGCTCTAATTTATGCGTGTCTTCTATCAACACCCACACCTCTTTCAGCAATGAGGAATAAAGTTCTGGATATTTAAGGAGGTTGCAAGGCAAAATAAGAGTTCAATAAAACTAACACTACATATGAATTAAAATATTATCTAACTGCTTGCATAATTAGAAAAAGATTAACCACCCGATAATTGAGATATCTGAAATTAAAGTTGACGCTTTTTATATATGTCCCTTGTACTAAGAAAAAATATTTGAAAATTTACTTGTAGAACATAAAGTTTATTTCTGTGTGAAACAGACTTTATATTTTATAAATAAATTCCTAGATATTTCTTCTCACAGTGTAAAATTGATATTTAAATTTTTATTTATAATTCCTTGTAAACTAAAATTAAAATTTGAAAATAAAAAACTGCTTTGATATCAAAGATTGATATACCAATATATATTGTACACAAGTCTCAGAATTATGCCGTCTTGTTTGGAAAATGCAACGCTGGGAATTTCATAATTTATAGTAACACTCGAGATACACATATTTAAAAACACATGTCTCTTTCTATTATCTGTGTATCTTTGTTAGATCAATTAATGCAAAAATGAAATATTAATAGTAAAAATAAGAAAACTATTTTTCGAGATTGTACATATCTATCTCATTCAACTGTGCCTCAAATTAACATCTGTTGCTTCGACAATGGCTTGGTTTACATCGTGCACTTGATACGCGTACTAAATAGTAACTTTCTATTAAATAATTTTAATATTGATAATGCATATCAACGCATTTAATCGGTACATCTTCTTGATAAGTATTATACCAGCTTAATATACCGTTGTTTATATACATTGTCGATATTAACATTATTTAATAGAAAGTTACTATTTAATACGTGTATCAAGTGCACGATGTAAACCAGTTCAATGAAACAAATGTATAGAAACATAATTTTGTTCGATAAGTTTATGAGTGGTCCCCTTGTTGTGTCACTGAAGATACGACACTGAGTCTTACAACCTCCTCATATTGTTTACTGTAGACACCAACTAAAACCTCCCCTGCTTGTCCTTTCTCTCTCTCTCTCTCTCTCTCTCTCTCTCTCTTTCTCTTTCTCTCCTCTCTCTCTCTCTCTCTCTCTCTCTCTCTCTCTCTCC